CAAGCTACTGAAAAAATGGGGCCCTTATAAGTTCAATTCTATTTATATACACCCGAGGAAAACCGTCATTTTTTATTGTTGAGTATTAACATTAAATTATTAAAAAAATTTCTTTACGCTACATTTTGCTTTGCTGCTCAAAATCCATAGAAAATATGCAAGGAGTTAGAATGAAATACAAGAAAATGCAATTTGATAATTAGTTTTATTCTTTTTATGACCACCGTTGAAAAACTGACTCAATTTTTAGTTTACAACTACCCATGTTTAACTACGTAGCCTTGTAATTTTGAACTCTATGCAGAAGACAAGGGAACTTCTGGATCAGTACTCAGAGGTATTGATTTGTTATGAGAACTTACTGGACTTTGTGACATAGATTTTATTTTATTTTCCAATTTTATTGATTTGCTTAAATTTAGTCATCTTTAAAATGTAAATAGCAATCGTAATGTTTGTGTAAAAAAATGGAAATAGCCGTTTTTCCTCATATCTGCAATGATTAATGAAAAGCAACCACGAGGGTTAGTGAGCAAAGTGAACAAGGGGCGGAGCCTTCTAGTTTTTTAAATAATTGTTAAATTATTAGTTTTACATGCATACTTTAAAAAAAATAAGAAAAACATTTTTCAGTATAAAGAAATAAAATAAAAAAAACTGTCATCAGCTGTAATAGAAGCCACGATCTTACAGTTTCGTGTTAGATTTCATAATCTTCAGCCCCAAATATGCACACCTACCTTGCGAATTTTTTTTATAACTTTTTTTTTTAAATTTAATGAATTAAGTCATTTGGATACTTGACATTCTTGATTTTGTCGAAAATGTCCGGATATGTCCTTGATGTAAAACTCTTAGACTCGTGTTTTTCCCCCTTCAATTTTGCGAAAAAATAATTTTTTTTTAAAATTTGAGGTGTCAAAATAGAAGGCTGTCCTAAATTTTGAGAAAATATATATGTTTGCATGCGACAATACAGTACCTTTTATGAAATGTGAATCATGATACTGACCACATTGAGAAAAGAAAGTATGGTCAAAACTATTAGAATATAGTAAAATTTACGGTATTTATGGGAACACCGAAATACAGGATAGAGTTTTTCAATATTGATCTGGTTATGACTTCTCATGAAATTAACATAATAAAAATATAGTTTTTTGCCATGCTGTGGTAGTNCTGAATCTCTTAAAATAATAATGCTAATTCAAAACAACATTATTTAAACATTTAACTTGAGATATTGGTTTAAAGAAAATATGATCACTGAATTTTATAAAGAGCACTGTTTAGATAAAATACAATATAAAATGACTTTATATTGAAATGTAAATTCAGTGACTCATTAAAGTGTTCTTACACTTATGATTTTCAATGAAATAAGACTATCCATTAATTAAAACAAATATTTCGGTATGGATATTTAATGTTAAAAAAATATATTATGATCTTAGCAAATCTGAATATTTTTAAAGAAAAACAAAGCAAAAGTTTACTTTTAAGAAATCTAGAATGAAAAAGTAACAAAAACTTAGTCTCACAAAAAACATCTTACACTTAAAAAAAAAAAAAAAATCTTCGTCTATCAGTAAATAGGGGAGATTTCCGTATCCTGATCTGTGGCAGAATAATCGCCAAGTCTAGGCAATTTCCAGGCAGAGTCCCGCGAAAATCATCACAGAATGGGACCAACTCAAAATGTATTACTCGTAGCCACCCCCGGGTATATGAAAATTGCAAGTTTAAAAACTATTTGGCACCTTGGCGATTGTAGTTGGCGCAACAGATCTAGATACGGAAATATCCCCAGTAAATATTCTAATTTTTGTTAAATTAACATTTAGTAGAGTTTCTTTTCACAAGAATAACTTTTATGAGTCAGTAAATAAATGTATACTCGTTCTGAAATATTCATTTTAATTGATAAATAATGCCCTATTTTAATAAAAGTTATAAGTGAACGAACACTTTTGGGAGCCACTGTAAATATAAAAACGTGTTGATTTATAATCACCTGGAATGATTTTCTTTTTCTTAATGAAAATATATTAAGCACACACACTACAGATATCCAAGGGTTTTTTAGTCATTCTGTAATTCCATTTTTTCAAGATGATATATTTATGAGGAAAAACACACGCTAACCTGGAAATTTTAAGATTTTTACCTGGAAAAATCAGGGAAATTTGAAACCTCATTGGAGATTAAAGTAAATTCAACTACTGTTCAATTAAAGTTATGTCCCATGCATGCATGAACCATGCATATATGTCCCATGCATGCATGTGCCATGTATGTATGTCCCATGTATGAATGTCAGATGGATGGATGTACAATTTATTTATGAACAATATGTATGCATATATGTACAATACATTCATATATTCTACATATATTGGACAAAAATCTTAAATACAAATTTTGCATGCGTACATACATGTTATCCAAATCTACGCAATATGTATTTATGTCGACTAAATCTATCCACAAATGTACAATACACGTATCTGCGCGCATTGTACATGCGTATATATACTACATGTATACATATGTACATAAATTGTATGTACGTATTCATGGATATATTATACATTGTGTGTCTGTCCAGTGAATGTATGTACAATATTTATGTCTAAATATGTATGCAATGAAATAAATAAAATATATGTAAGTGAAGTGTAAAAACCACTGATAACGACTCAAGCAAGTTAAATTACAGAATCGAACTATATTTAAATTTAGTTGCCAGCTTTAATTGCTCTATATCAATTCAAAATTGTTAGAATAAAGAATAATTTTCAGGTATTTTCTTAAAATGCTTGACTCGACAAATTTATGTATTTATAACATTGCACAGTTCATAGAAAGTTTTAGATGGCAAAAAAAAGAAAGAAAACTGTAATTTCAAATGTTGAAATAATATTTAGGATTCGTTGTCATCGTTTGTTTTCGTTGATAATCGTTTGATTTCCAAAACTATAAGAGATTGAGTTTTATATATTTCAGAACAAATTTTAAAACAAACTTTAATAACTTTACTGTTATAAAGTATAATGTAGTCACAATGTATGTGCATGCATATATTTAAACATGCGCTTGTATTTATGTATACGTGCATGTATACGTTGTATGTACATACGTACATAAACAATTTTTTTACATCCATACATTACATGTGCATATGTATTACTAAAGTAAATAGATATGTACATACATACATATATGTACATACGTTGCGTGTACAAACCATATATATATGTACGAGTAAACGTACATGAATACATACATGAATTTTATTTACCCAATTATGTACGCATAGGGTACCTATAAACAACATTCTTACATATTGTACGTATATGCATTACGTATATACATATATGCATACGTATATAAATTATTTTCACTTACGTTCATACATATGTTGTCTGTGTATACGAGCATGCAAAATATTGCATTTGCACACAAACTAACAAACTTGCTTAGATGCATTACACATGCCTAATTATGTGTAATAAGCATATACGCATTGTAATATATATATTATTATATAATTACAAACGTTCAAACAACGTTTGTAAATACATTGTATATGTATCTATATGAATCACACGTATGTACGTTCTATGTACATAAAAATATGTATCCCCATACGTACTTACATAATCTATTCATATACAGTATGCAATCGTAATTACTTGTAATCGTACAGTTGGATTACAAGTAATTACAATTACTCGTAATCATGATTACATGTAATAGTATATTTTGATTGCCAGTAATCATAATTACCCGTAATTGTTTCTGTTGTGATTACTTGGAATCACGATTACAATTGTAATCAAAATTTTGGTGAATTGTAATCAAGATTACAAGTAATTGATTACTGTAATCAATTATTGTAATTATGATTACAGCTGTATTCAAAATTATAAAAAATTGTATGATTACTGTAATTGATTGTTGTAATCCTAATTAAGGCTGTAATCAAAATTATGTTATCTTGTAATCACGATTTCAAGTAATTGATTGTTGTGATCATAATTACAGCTTTGGAAACCAAATATGTTATCTTGTAGTCATGATTACAAGTAATTGATTACTGTAATCCAAAAGTGTAATCGATTACATTTTTGCCCAACTCTGTTTCAAGCTACCACTGAGGATCGAACCCCAGTTCCTCACAACAATAGCTCAGTGTCTTTAGCTAGTCATCATGGCTTTTAAAAATTTTCTTTCTAACAATTGTATTAAATATTCGTTGAATGTAAAGAAATTCATAAATAAACAGTTTTCGTCTTCACGTTGCCAGACACTGTTTTGCATTCACACATCAAAATTTAAGAAAAAAAAAGGCTACAACCGGATAAGGAAACATTTTCAACCTACTTTCAATGCGTGCTGCCATTTATTAATTTTAAAAGAAACAAATACTTAATAATTTTAGTCAAAAAATTATTACTGTGGATTTAAAGCTTAAAAATCGAGTGTAAACCATCTTTAAAAGCAAATGGGTTTAAACTATTACTGAAATGAATACGCGTATTATTTGAAAATTAAAAATAATAGGAAAAGAAAACCATTGAGTCGGGTTTGGTAATTTAACAAATTGTTATATAGACAAATAAAAATAACTTTAAAAAAAAGAAAAATTTAACAAAGAAAAATGCAACCAATTGAAATTGTAACGCACTGCTTTGTAACTTATGAAAGTTTTCAGTTCATAACTTGACGTACAATATTATTGTACTAATCAGTCCTAAATTCTGTTAGCAACATTTTTGCAACTGTTGCATGTTTCAATCAAACCTCTTGAAAGGCTTTTTTTTACCGTGAGGCAAAATTTGCATAATCAAATTAATACTTTTCTGGTAATTCTTACTTTCACAAAATGCCAAGTACTAAAAATGAAAGATTATCATTATTATGTCTCCTTAATTTTGCCTTGTTTAGTTGTCTTTTACTTTGTAGTTAAATTTATATAAATTTTTATTAATTTTCAGGACTTTGTAACAAGATAATAAAACATAATAATTGGACGTACTTATGAAAGGTAGAATGGCTGAAAACTGCAATAAAGTAAGTTCTACTTGTAACTTTATCGAACTGTTTTCTGATATAGAAAGAGGAATTAGAGAAGATTTAATTAGTATTTTACGCAAGAAAGGTAAATTGGTGCGTTCTTTAAATACTCAGGAGTGGAGAGAAGACTTAAAAGTAGCTTATACACAAATCAATAACCCATTGAAGAAAACAAATGTTGTTATTTTAGCTTGCAAATACCAGAGACTAAATGTTCTTGAATATTTGCTCCACAACGACGGTCATTGGCTATTTACTTTTCGAGCCTTGGCTGGAGGAGAAAATATCAAGCCAGGTGAGCTGGACCATCAGAATCATGATGCATTTTACTACGCCATAAAATCCAGCAAAACTGAACTTCTTGAGTTATTATTATCAAAGTGGCCTGATGACTATTTCACAAAGAAACCGAATGAATTAGAAGATATTTTATCATTGTCTTTTAATGAAATCAAGCTAAAGAACATTCGAATCACGGAACAGATGAATAACTTTGTCGAATATTTCTTGTTGAAATCTTGTTTCTTTCAAGGGAATAAAAATAAAAATGTTAGTAAAAGTTATTCACCGGAAAACATCAAACAAAGGATCGAATTAGTCGTAGAATGCGTTGGTATGTTAAAAACGGAGTATATGGATAAAGAAGCAGATGACAAATTTCTGTTTATTTCATCGTTTATAATTCAGAATATTTCTGTCTTAAAGCGATTATTAAAATTTACCTATGATTCATTGCCATGGGAAGAAATGGAATTCTGCTTAATTGTTTTCATCAGTTTCCTTAAACCAATCGAAAAGGCAAAGAATGAGATAGAAAAAAAGGTTTATGAGTACGAAAAATATTACAGGCGTAATTCTTGGCGTTTCACTAACTGCGTGTTAACCCAATCAACAATCTTAAAACATCTCGGTCACTTCTCTTTGAATTTAGAAAAAGTCGCAAACTTAACAGCTATTAATAGTGTAAACAAATTTCTACAATTCTCGCGCAAAGAAAATATTTCAGCAATCATAAAAACTTATCCTTTATTCGAGGACTTACTAAAAGACTATGCCGCAGTTCGAGACGTTTATTCTTTGGAAGTGATTAAACATTACCTGGAAGTTGCCATAGCTGTGGACTCGAAAAAAACTGACGGGCAATTAATTATCTCGAGAACGTTACAAGTTCTCGGTGAAAATTTAAAGAATACCGTAGAATCACCAAAACTTTCTGACAATACCTGTGATATTTTATTGCTCACCTTAACGAAAACTACAAGATCTATAGTAACAGGATTGCGTAATGCTCTATCTCATGAACACGCTCTTCAAAAACGAAAAGAACTGGAAGGTTTGAATTGTGATTTTTACAGTTCTGTGCAGAACGATTTAAATAAGCTAAATCCTTTAGTCACTGATATTCTACGTAGCTTAAAAAGAAACTTGATGAAGTTGTGTTTACAGAAGCTTGCTGACTGCAATAGCTTAGAAGATTACAAACATACATTAAAATCCCTTCGTTTCGGTAAGTCATCCGATGTTTCTTCTTCAGGCACTTTCGATGATACTTCGGAAATTAAGTTGTTGCAAAAATTAATACCTCAGTTTTTCGACACAATTGGAAGTTTGTCTGCCAGTGAAGAGATTGTTTTGCACAATCTTCAGCAAATTCTAAACTCAAAGACTGAGAACGACTTCGAACGAGCGGTTATCAAATCTGTAAAGCAGTGCCCTATTCAGAATTTAGAGCTATTTTATAATGGAATTATGAACACTATGATTATAGAGGAGAATGATTTTCCAGAACTTAAAAAACTAGCCAAGAGGGATATAAAAAGGTTGAGCATTGACGTCCCAGAAGAATATATTAGACTGATTGCTAATTCCATAACATCCGTTTATGATGCTGTCAAGCTTCGAGTGTCGAAAGACAAATTTTATGAAGTAACTTTATTATACTATAAAATATTACGTGTCATTAATTATGACATGAGCACGGTTACAGGCATTACTGAAATGAACTATTTATTGACAAGTGACAAAAATGCAATGTTTCCAAGGAGAATGAATCATTTGGAAAAGTATCATGAGGAGTTGAAGGAAAAGCTTGAACTCCTACACGATGCAATGGGAAGAATTATTGATTTGAAGGAAACTTCAAGAAAAAATATTGCAGCCGAAGTTATTTGTGAAACAAATTTGTTGATTGAAGTGATTATGTTGGACATCATGTCTATACTCGACTCTTGCAGAAAATTCACTAACAATCCATTTTATTGTGATGGAAATCACCCGATATTAGGCGGAAAGAATTTAAGAAATCATTTGGCTCACGGCAACGTATTAAACGATGTTCTTTTTAACTCAAATATTTCAATACTTTTGAATGCCAAAATATTTGTGATGGAAGATGTTACAAGTTGGAAAAAGCAACTTGACCGAATCGTCATTGGTAATCCATCAAATTTAAAGCTTAAGTTTGAGCAAAACTTAGAAAAGCTAAGCAACCAAGCAGAATTGTTCTACGCTTTAGCTTGTGGTGATCTCGATCTCGCGAGATCGTGTATTGAAAAGGGTGCCGATATCGAAGCCAGAGATATAAATTTATGGACAGCCCTTCATTACGCTAGTCAAGCGTCAAATACAGTAACTTTAGAATTTATTATTTCCGAATATCCCGGATTATTTTTCAAAAGTATAGAAGAAATGGATGTCGAGGGCCGTATTCCTTTACACATCGCAGCCTTTAAAGCTCGTAAAAATAGTGTAGAGGTTCTTCTGAAAAATAATCAAATCTCCATCAATGCAAAAGATGTCTGCAACAAAACTGCTTTGCATATTGCATCGCAGGTTGGTTCCGAAGAAGTAGTTGAGGTATTGCTGAAAAATGGAGCAGACACGGAAATTAAAGATATGTGTGATTATGCACCTTTACACTTTGCTATTTGCCATAACCATGTCGGAGTTACCATCGAACTGTTGAAGAAAGAAAAGAATGTCGACGACAATCTAAGTAGTAGTGCTTGCACGCCTTTAATTCTTGCAGCTGAGAAAGGTTTTTCTAGCATAGTGACGTATTTGTTACAAAAAGGTGCAGATGTAAACAGGAAAAATGATCTTAAAAGCACACCTATGCATTTAGCTGCTGATTGGGGCCATGCCGAAGTTCTTAGTATTCTGATTCAGAATGGAGCAGAAATAGACTGCCAGGACGATAGGGGAGTAACTCCTCTCCATTGCGCAGTGAGAAATCGGCACAAAAGTTGTGTTGAAGTGCTGTTGAAAAATGGTGCAAAAATTAATATCCGAGATTATGTTGGACGCATACCTATACATTTTGCGACATATTTGGGAGAGCAAGAAATAGCGAAGAACTTACTGCGATTGGGTGGATCCTTGAATATGTGGAATTATCAAGGTTGGACAGCATTGCATTGTGCTGCGTATAGTGGAAATGTTGATTTAATATCAACTTTAGTTGATAAGGGCGCTACTATTAATGTCTGTACTTTCATGGGTCTGACGCCTTTACATATTAGTGCACAGTTTTGCAATAATCAGGCTTCTAAATATCTCATGGAAAAAGGTGCCGGCATTTCTTGTAAAGACAAAAAGGGTCGAACACCCTTGCATGTAGCATCGGCATCTGGTGATGTGGAAACTGTTAAATTCATTTTAAAGAAGAAACCTAATGCTGTTAATGACGAGGACAAAAAGGGTTGGACTGCTCTTCATCACAGTTGCTTCAACAATCACGGTTGCATTGTGAAAATCTTAATTGAGGCCGAAGCTAACATTAACAAACAAAACAACGAACTTAAAAGTCCTTTACACTTAGCCGTAGAAAATAGTAACTATCAGATAATTGACAGTCTTACGAAACAAGTTGGTTGTGAGCTGTTGAAGGATTTAAATGGGTGCACACCCCTGCATTATGTTGTCAGGTGTGGGCAAGAAAAATTATTCAAACTCGTCGCATCAATTTCGAATGATGTAAATGTCATCGACAAATATAAGCGCACAGCTTTGCACTACGCTGTGGATTCTAATCAACTGAAATCAGTTAAACATTTAGTTGAAATGGATTGCAAAATTGATGCAATCGATGAAAATGGATTAACAGCTTTGGCTACATCTGTGAAATATCATTACATGGATATTGTAAACTATTTGCTTAAAAAAGGAGCAAATCGCTATCTCAATAATGGAATGATTTATTTTTTAGCCATTGATTGTGAATATAGAGATATTCTGAATGTTTTATTATTCCCTAAACATAAAACTAAAAACGTTTTAATGAAGGAAAATATAGCTTTGCTGCAGAGAGTTGCTGCTGTCGGCAATGTTGCTATGTTTCAAGATGTAGTTACTCTAGGACTGGACGTAAATGCTGTTACAGGCAGCGAACATTTGTCTGCGCTGCATATCGCTTCGGAAAGAGGGTGTTACGAGATTGTCAAACTATTGGTGCAAAAGAATGCAGACGTCAATATTAAAACTAGAAAAGGAGATAATGCCTTGCATTTGGCGTTAGCAAAAGGACACGTAAAAATTGTCTGGCTGCTCCTTGCGAAAGGAGCCATTTATGACACACCAAATAGCTTTAATAGAATCCCTTTAGAATCAGCTGTTTTATCCAAAAACTTACAATTAGTCAGGCTGTTTATCGAGAAAAAACAACTTGACGTTAATTATACTAATGCCAACGGTCATACTTTGCTTCATCTTGCATCTGAAGTTGGGAGCTTTGAAATTGCTTCATATCTAATCAAAAAAGGAGCAGATGTCAATGTTTTAAATAAAGAAAATTTAAAACCCATTCATATAACAGTAAAACATGGAAACCTAAGTGTTATGGCACTCCTATATAAATATATGTCATTGAATCAAGCTGCCAACACCGTGCATGTAGAATCTTTACTACATTTCGCTGTGACAGAAGAAAAATTTGAGCTAGTACAATACCTTATTAGTAAAAAAGTTAATATGAATTCTTCAGATGATGCTGGGATCATGCCTTTGCACGTCGCCGCTGCAAGGGGGAACTTCGATTTAGTTAAACTTTTAGTTGAAAATGGATCATTTTATGACTTGCCTGATCACTTAGGTCGAAAACCAATCGATTTAGCTAAAACATCAAAAGTAATAAATATTTTAAGAGAAACAGAAAATTTAATGAAAGCAGTTAAACATAATAACATCTTGATGGTACAGCAGTGCATTCAAAATGGCGCTATTGTAAACGCCTTAGACAAAAATAATGCGTGTCCTTTAATTTTCGTAGCATATAAAGGTTATTTGGAAATTGCCCTTGTATTGTTGGAAAACAAGGCGAATCCCAATACAAATGGAAAGAATGGATTTACACCGCTACATTATGCTTCTAAATTTGGTCACATAGAAGTCGCTCAAATTTTGTTAAAGTTTGGTGCAATTTACAATGCAACATCTAATAATGCTAAAAGCCCTGCTGATCTGGCTACAAATTCAAAGATTTATAATCTACTCAACCTGATTGATCGATGTTTTAAAGAGATTGAAGATAGGAAACGTAAATTCCTCGCAGTTTTGAAAAATATTAAAGATGTTCAGACAATGGCAGCAATCATGAATGCCCGCAATCAGAATAAAAAAACATTAACTACCGCAGCACACCACTGCAAATTTCAGGGAGCTGAAACTCTAGAGATTTTATTTTGCAATTTTGCTTTCAGGCAAACCGCAGCTCATGCCTTGTATCTATCAACCGACAGAAAAATATTGAACCCTAGGTGCAATAAAGTTTTTGATCTCCCAATTGTTCAAGACAAGTTCATACATAAGCTTACGGAGTCATCAAAATACCACGAAGCCTTACTGATTTGTACAGATTTACTGGAAGATTATAGAAAAATGTTTGGAAGTGATAACATTGTAGTTTGGGTAACACAACAGCACATTGCTTTTATATTACATCAACTTCAAAGGTATCAAGAATCTCTGAGACAATTCCGTGAATTATACGAGCTTCGTAAAAAAGTGTATGGCATGTTTCATAAAGGTAATTTGGATATAAAGAGCTGGATGGCATTAGTTTTACATCGGTTAGACAGAAACGAAGAAGCCCTAAAAATCTGTGAACAAATTTATGAAAAACAGAAAAAGATTCTTGGCGGAAATCATTTGCATGTGCTACAGACTGAGATTCACATGGCTTTGGTGCTTAATGCACTTGGTGAGCATGAAAAAGCTTTAAAAATGAGCCGTTTGACGTACGTTAAATATAAACAACTCGCTGGCTCGAAACATCGCACAACACTTGTAGCTCTTAACAATGTTGGCATTATCCTATTAGCGAAAGATGATTTAGACGAAGCTCTTAAAGTCTTTAAAAAGGTCCATGATGGCAGGCGTGATGTTCTCGGTTCTGAACACAGAGATACCATAAGAGCCTATCAAAATGTGGCGAACGTTTTGCGTCAGCAAAAACTCCTTAAAGAAGCAGAAAGAATATTTGAAAGCATTTTAGTTTATCAAGCGTCGAAGCTTGGTCTAGGTGATATGGAGACAGTTTTTACGTTACTACACCTAGCCGAAATAAATTACGAATTGAATAAATACATGAAAGCGGAGAAATTTTACAAGGAAGCCTACATGACTATAACTTTAGTTTTGGGAGATGATCACTTTTTGGCGAAATTAATCAGAATCAAACTTCATTCAATGGAAAAATATTTTGAATATACTGATATGGGATTCCAAAACTAATACAAATGTAGAACTTAATGAGAAAATCGGATACTTTGTTAAATGTAGCAGTCTTTTATTTTATCTGCGTTTAATTGTTTTAACACTGTAATCCACAATTTAGTAGAAAAAAAGTTTTTTTTAAGTTAGTTTATTAATCGCATATAAAAACATGTATAGTTATGTAATTATTTTTACATTTTTATTCAGGTTTTATACTATATTTTAACCCTGTGTTTATGGCCATTTTTTTTAAAGATTTGCAAATGGTAAAGTTTACAACTCTATTTTCATTTGATTTAACTAAAACTTTTACAATCTGTGTACATTAGAGCAAAGATAGTCATTAATACTTTTCAGTTAAGTTCTGAATCTGTAATTTTATTTTTGGACTTTAGGACATACCTCCAAAGGTAAATAATTATTCATCAACCTTTTTATATAAGGTTAAAGAATATTTTTCTTTTCTAATTGCCCATCAAATTGTATTTTTAAATGTAATTTTTATGTCCATCTAGGTAACGTTTTATATGCAAACTATTTTTATGAGTTCTAAATCTGAGTAAATGGTAAATTTTTATAGAACACTCTTGGGTTTGCATCTGTTTTTAAATGAATGGTTAATACTAATTAAATGTCATGTTTTAGTTGGGCACTTCTAATTTCACCATCAAAAATACAACTTCGCTTATACCTGAGGATTACATTAAAAAATTAATAACGATAATTTTTTATTTCAAAAACCATCACCTTAATTAGACTTATTTTTTAGAATTGCGATATTACTTCTTATGTGTTTAATATTTTGTAAATTAGTTAATTATTTCGTAATAAAATTTTCAAAAATTTTAGTTAAAAATGCAATAGTGGTGTGCAGTATATTATCTTCATTATCAGTGTGATAGTTATTATGTTACATTTTAAAATTTTAGTTAAAAATGCAATAGTGGTGTGCAATATACTATTATCTTCATCATAACTGTGATAGTTGTTATGTTGCATGTAAACATCATCGAATTATAGTTTTTATGTTTAAGTGCTAATTTTTATCAAACTTCGAACATCTGTAATTATTTCTTTATTCTCATATTCATTATAAATTTAGATAAGAGCATTATCTGTTTTATATCCAATTTTTAAAAATATGGGATTCTGTTATCACAGCCCTTAACATATTTCTAGAATCTTTGACAAAAGTGAAGTAAAAAAAATACACTTTGAAGGTCACGAGTTAGTATTTAAGCGGTATTTAAATATTAATTTGCGATCATTAATGTTTGGATCTTTTTTACATCATTTTTGACAAGGTTTTTAAAAATATCTATCTGCTTTATTGTTTTACTTAACAGCATGTATATATTTTATCTAAAATATTTTTATGGAATATTTAAAAAAGTTCCATTGTGTTAAAATTGGAAGAAAAACATTTTTCTATTTTTTCTTTCCATTTTAAGATTTTTTCTGATGCGAATGGATAAATTTATTGATTAGTTTTTTGTTTGTTTGAAAAGCAGTTGTTCAATATAATGCAAATGCTTCTATGTTATAAAATTGTATGTGAAATTCGTTATCTTCCTGGAGTAGTTTTTTGTGCCTTTTTTTCTTGTGAAGAGTTTTTAACTAATTTAATCATCAAATATTATATCTGGGTATTTTCAATCAACCAGCGACATACTTTAGCTTTGATAGCCTGGTTGGTAGGGAGTCTAGTCCATGTCAAAGAGATTATAAGTTCAAATCCAGCCGGCTGAAGACTCCCCCGTGTAGTAAATGGTGACTTGTGCACGCTAAATCAATCGGGTCCCAAAGTCCTCTATGTTTCCATAGCAAATCATACCTCTGAGAGTACTAAACTAAAGATTGATCTGTCTCTGGTTCAGATCAAAATTACGATATGTGGATGAGTGAATGGGTCCGCCCTATAAACGGGTTGTGACGTATGTAGGTGGCCGAAGTCAAATTATTGGCCGTAGATTTTGAAACTGGAAAATCACTGGAAGCGCAGCCCCTTTACCTTAACCCCTTCCTTCTCGCTCCCGTGAAAATGACGGGGTGAGGTTTCGCCCTCTATTTCTCGCTCCCGTGATATTTCTGGGCTGGAGTGTTCAGTAGTAACGCACCCATAAGAGTAAAACTAATTCATTTCTTTTGTCTGGAAAACATTTTATTTCTCATTTTGCACACCAGATGGCAGTACTAGGATATTTCAAAGGTAATTGTAGATAGTTAGTTTATTTTAAACTAGCTGTCAGCACTAGGACTGGGCAATATAAGAAATTTTATATCGTGATGCATCGTCAGTTTTGCATCGCGATGTATCGCGATATAGTATTTTTGAAATTCATTTACTTATAAGGCGCAGAAAGTCGGATTTCTATCAAAACTTCATACTCAGATTGATTTAAATCAATTTATGAATTTGATGTATATGTTTTGCTTAAGAAAGATATTAATGTTATATTTTCTAAAAATGATCGCGCAAATAACGAAAGATTTCTTAGTTTAAAAATAAATAATAAAAAAATAAATAAAATTGAAATTTATCAATATATTTACCTAACAATATAGAAAGAAAATTTAAAAAATAAGTTCGTTAAAAATTATTTGTATGCTTAAAACAAAGTGCTAAATAAATTAAACAAAAAAAAAAACTTTTAAAACAACACTATTTTTTATCATTATTATTTCACATAAATAATAAAGTTAAATTGAATAATTACCGAATTCTGAACGAAAAAACAAAGTAAGGTTTAATTTCTTAAAAATAAAAACAAAAGAATTATGATATTCGATAATATATTCAACTGACAATATTGAAAGAAAATTAAAAAACACGATTATACTCTTTAATAAAACGAAGTGCTAAATGATTTTAAAAAAAGAAGTCGCAATCGCAAACATTACTAATTTTTTTGAATAAACAAAGTTGATTGACTTATGTCCAAATCCAAAAGAGGAAAAATAAGTTTTGTTATAATTTTATTTATAAAAATGAAAACAACTAAAGATTTATAAATTTAAAATCAGTAATAAAAACCCATTAAATTATTATTTTATCCAAAAAACTTTTAATAAATTAAAATAAAGTAAAAAATAGCCTAACAAATTTAATTACTTTTTAATTTAATTCTTTATGGGCACCTTAAATTAGATTTCCGTTTGTAATAAATTCAATAATGTAAAATAATACTTAAACATATAATATCAAAATTAATTTTCACATTTAAGAATAAAAAAGAAAGTTTTGTTTCAAAAAAAATTTTTACCTAATTAATTAAGAAGCACTTCTTTATATGTTCTTTTCAATGATAGATTACGTTCAGAACAAGGTAACGACGAGCGCAAAGTCAGTCCCACTGAAAATAATCTACAAGAAACGATATCAAGTCGCGAACAAGAAGAAAAAAAAACTAAGAGGTGCGGAAACGAACATGCGAGATCACGATATATGTTCTCAAAACTGATTCTGATTCTACCGCTCATCAATCAAGGCCGTTTCAATATAACGATACGAACATCGTCTTCCCCAGCGCGAGTTGGCATCGGATCGTAAGAGATCCTTGCGTGTCTTGTATCGCTATATCGTTCGTCTTCTTTACTCGACGGCTTAAATCAGATTTCTGATGCATCGCCTGGAACGAAAGTTGCTGTATTCGGCCTGCCGATACAGGCGTTAAATCGATATGTTGCGATATATCGATTTATAGCTCAGTCCTAATCAGCACTAATCAAATACGTGTATTTGTGATACGCGATAAAAAAATAGGCACTTTTATGACCGTTTTCTTAAAAATTAACCGATCGTTAAGGGGTTAATGGCATGCTTTTTGGGGTTCGGATTCACAGTTGAAAATATGCGAATTTTTTCTCCTCCCTATTTTGTAAACAAAAAATTATTTTCATCTAACTGAAACTCGTTCTTATAGTCAATTGCATTGTTATCATAAAGATGTATTTCTCTTCCCGAAGGATCTTAACAGAACGGCTGCATCTAACAGAAGAATTTTATTAAAATTTTGCTATAGTTTCCAAATTAGGTTTTATCCATTAAATTAAATTATTACTGCAATTAAGTTATTACCTCAAAATCATAAATTGTGTCCTCGTAAAAAAAGTTGTAATGAATTTTCACGTTTAAATTGCATGTTGCTTATTTTTTTAGACCTTCATCTTAGCTAAAATCCCTTAGGCCCCCCTTCCAAACAAAAATTGAATCATGACTTTGCCACTGTAAGAAACTACTTTAAATGAAACAGAACAAAATGAAAAATAATGTGTACATTAAAACGTAGTAAAAAAATATTTTTATTATAGAAAAACTTTACAAAATGTAGGATAAAAGAATGATTGTATTAGGATTGTTTTAGAAAATTTCACTGTTACACAAATACGTTATGGACTCATAAATTCAAGATTGAAATAAGTGATTGCAAAAAAGCTTAACAAACATTTTAAGAAGTAAATAATAAAAACGTTTATGGGACTCTCTGAAATTTGCACATCAAATCAAGTATTATTCTCTCAATTTATTATTCTTTTTGTTTAACGGAGATTAATATAAGATTTTATCCCAGAAGCGAATTTTTATAAATTATTTCCTTTTACGTAATTGATTTCAAAAATCAGTTAAACCAAGCTACTATTTTTAAAATTGCAATTAATTCGTCATTTCCTCACTAATATTTTTTTTTAAAAAAGGGAATGATGCTAAAGATTTTAGATAGGAGATTGATTTTAGATTCTTTAACCGCTCAAAAGACAAAGCTGTAGTGCATATAAAAAAAAAAAATTTTCTTTATTCTAAGTTCAATTACCATATTACTGGAAATTATAATTCTCTGAACTTGTCTTAATATCATAAACTTAACATATATCAACAGTTTTTATGAGTATAACCCAAAATACAGTCGGCAAAAAAAGTATTGGCACACCAATATCATTTTTAGTAATTGTGCAACTAAACGTTCTAACTGTACACATGGTGCGTAGCGTTTTTAAAAAGTGCTTAAAAGAGTGTTGCAGAATGATTCAGTGGTGAATGGGTGCATTAATTAAAGAAACCATATTTAATAACAACCAAATTTAATAATAAAAACAATAAAAAATATGATACGAAATGGGGCTCTCCAATGAGCCATCCATTTCAATCCATTGCCTGCTACACAAGTGATTACAGAATTATTTTTGAGTGATTACAACGCCCTTTTCTGGTCTGGCAGAAATTTGTAACAAGGAGCTTATTTTCGTTTTTTAAAAGTGCTTTTTTTATTGGATGTTTTTAATAGGTGCTTAATTTTTCCTTTACGAAAATGAGATTTTTTTTTTCTTTACCATGTCAATTTTCGCCATGTTTCAAAAGCGTGGTTTTTATATTGTTCTATTCAACGTTTTCACAATTCATTCAAACACAATCTATTTCGGTGTACCGTCGGTTCGTAGCGTATGAAAGTACCAATCATTTAACATGTTTGATGAAATACTTGTGGGTTCGCATGTGCATATACTGAACTGAGTTTGGTGAGATTCTTGCACTTTTATGTGCAACTCTGCTGCATTTTGCAAGATATTCTCAATTTCAGAATTCATTTTCCACCCTCTGAAATCGAACTGAAAAATCTCTCGATCTTTTTATGGTGGCTAATATAATTTAGAAAGAGTTCTTTGTCAGAAACTAGTTAGTTTATCATGAGCAAGTAACGTCTTCAAAATTTTTTTTGCATTTTGTTAATGTATGTAGTGCTTAAAAAGTACTTAAAAGGTGCTTATTTTTTGTTGAAAGATTCGGCTACTCACCCTGTGTACAAATTAAAACGTATTACGCTTAATTCTTGATATTACTATATCACATAATTTAAAACTTCTGACATTCTTAATAAAATATTTACACAGAAAAATCACATTTTATTTTGTAAAAAAAACTAAAAAATGAAGGGTAGGGTTGACCTTTCCTAGTTTCTATCGTCTTTTGGGGTCATGATGACTGATTGTGGTTTACATTGTTTTTATTATTATTATTTAATAACCTCGTTTTGCCTTTTGCAATAGCTTAAAATCTGGATTTTTCAATGTTTTCAAAATTTTTGTTTTTTTTTTCTAATTGTTCAATCATACATAGGTTCACAAAACATACGAGCGTAATAAATAAATTTTGTGACAGGTCATAATTGTTATAAAATTCATTCGGGAAATATTTTTGTTCGCATAATTATGAATATTTGTCTTAATAGTTTTCTAAATTTGAAAGATGTTTTCTTACTTATACCTACAGGACCAAACTTTTAAACCTGATGGACGACGGAGTCTATTTGCAAGCACAATTTTCATAAATCCTAATTTGTTTTTAACCCCGATGCTGACAGTTGTTTGCAACAAATGTGCGATAGTTATCGTCTACTAATTCTAAAAAGAATTAATAAAAGAACAAAAATGATTATTTGATTCATATAAAAAATTATGAAAAGCAAAGAAATGTCTTTCTCCTTTTCTACAAAAACCAACTTTTCCCTGAAACGTAATCTTTTCTGGAATGAATATTGTCATGTAATTAATTGAAAGAACTTCAGTGCTTCACGATAGATTTTGAGAAAATTGGCAGGAGAAATCGCTAATGCTTTAAACGCTAAAACAGAATTTCTGAAAATTTATGAATTATTACAATGAAATTTATTTTTGAAAAAAATTGTTTTTGCTTACACATTTTGCTATACATTATTTGTTTGTGTAGCTTATATAAAGTTTATATTCGCTTACGTTAATTTTTTTATTGCTCGGTAAAATCGTAGTTAGTGATAATGTACTGAGTTCCATATACGTCTTATGTGTTGGATAATTGCAAAGATTCAAAAAGAAATTTTCAAAAGTTATTTTAATCTGTTAAAATAACATTCTCCAGATGCATTATAGCTTTTTTTTCAATAATTTTGATTTTAATTATAATTTTTTCAATAATTTTCGTAAATTGTTTCAGTATCTAAGTACTCGTTATAAATGAGTTCGATTATATTGGTATTAATTGAACGTAAGAGTCAAAAGCAAAATTAGGAACTTTTAAACTTCATTTAGCACTTACTGTAAAATTTCACCAGGTGAAACCCAACCACCAAATACCCTCTCAAGTTCTTCAGCAATTAAGAAATTTAAACCATCGTTATTTTTACTACTAACTACCTGCAAACCCAAAGGTAGACCATTCTCATTAAGGCCTAGCGGGCAATGCGTTGCTGGCAAACCAAGCAAATTCCATAATCCTACATAACTTAGACTGAAACTTAAGCATTGAGTTTCAACATGATGTAATGCTGTTACTGGCAAAGTAGGACACAAAAACACTGAGTTATCGTCGAGAAGTTCGTCAAACTCTTTTTGCAGTTCTTGCAACAGATCTTTGTAGTATGAAACGTCACTCTCCCTGTACCACAAAGGTAATTTTGAAAGTTTTAACATGAATGGTACCACGATGGTGTACTTTGAAACACCGCAGAGGTATTTTATGAGTTCTTTGGTTGGGTTAAGAGTGGGAGGGCACCTCATAAGCTTTAGGATCTCTTCCGTGTTTCCGGAAGCATGGATAAGATTGTGTTTATAGATTTCTTCGCTTTTCTTCAGTAATGGCATGGATACTTCTTTGGACTTGATTCCATAGGTTCTGTCAAAGTGAGATAGCACCTTAAAAGAAAATGTTATGAAAGATTTTTAATGATAATATTAAACCTGTTTAAATGCAATAAAGATTTTTAATGAGAATATTAAACCTGTTTAAGTGCAATAAAGATTTTTAATCAGAATATTAAACCTGTTTAAATGCAATAAAGATTTTTAATGAGAATGTTAAACCTGTTTAAATGCAATAAAGATTTTTAATGAGAATATTAAACCTGTTTAAATGCAATAAAGATTTTTAATGGGTATATTAAACCTGTTTAAATGCAATAAAGATTTTTAATGAGAATATTAAACCTGTTTTAAACCTGTTTAAATGCAATAAAGATTTTTAATGAGAATATTAAACCTGTTTAGTATGATAAATTTAGATGTTAAATATGTTTAATGTATCAACAACCAATGTTAAAATATCAAAGGTTGACAATTAAGTTTTTTAATTCCTTCAAAAAATATTGCATCTAGTAATTTTATTTTTAAGATTTATCATTGATTCGATGAAAGTGAGTTTTTTATCATTCTTCCAAAAGTCTGAAACTAAAAATGCCGAATCGAGGTGCGTTGGATGATTACAAGGGGCGTTTCGGTTCTGATATTTACCGGGAACAACTGAAGAGGAACTAATTAATTTTTATAAACTTCATTTGAATTTTTCTAGACTATTGCTTACTCATAACTTAATATAGCCGGTACCATGGATAAAAATGTAGTTTACATAAAAATTAGTCGATATGTATAGTACTCGAGATATTTGACGCATCTGAACTCTAAAGTACAACTTCCGCAATGGAGTTATAGGTACCCCGCTAGTCCACAAGACAGATTAATATTTTTAAGAAAAAAATTGTTAGAAACTTAAATCTCCCTAATTCTAAAATTTAGATTTGAAAAAAATATATGAATTTTTTTCCAAAGCCCTCCTGGGGAATGGCCTACGTCATAAAGGCATCTGAAGGGCAGATTTGTGGGTCACTTTTCCAGGGGCACCATATTAAGTGAGCGAAAGTTGCTACCACAGTAAGGACAGATAGTACAGAGAATGAAAGAGCACCCATGCCTTATAGGCGGGATTAAAACCCAGAACCTTTCTCATGCAAGGCCGGTTCCCTGGCCGGTCGGCAATCTGAATAAATAAATAAAAAATAATTATGTTTCTGATCCAAAATTGGAAGACATGGAATATTTTTACTAAAAATATTAAAAAGTGTTGTGAAAGAAATGGGAGGTGCGACAAAAATTTTGGTTTGGTCAACGACACACGTTTATAAATTATGTTAACACTATAATAAAACAAGACGTATTTTCGTCCTCTTTTTTCTTTTAATACGAGTAAAAGTTTTTTTTTTTTTTTTTTTTTTTGCAACCGTTCGTGAATAGAAATTTTGCCAAAATTCACTTTTTCTATCATTTTGTTTTGTCTTCTAAAAATCGTCAAGCATTAATTGTATAATTTGAACTTTTTCTTTTTACATTTTTATTATGTGTAAAAAAAAGCATGATGTATTTTTTTTACAAATTAGTTTCTAACTTTAAGTATAAGAAAAGTCGTGTTATACAATAGTTCCATAATAGCTGCATGTCTGTATTTCCCCCATTTTTTAAAATATAACTAATTTATAAACTATTTATTTTTTATAACTATTTATTTTTTAAAATATAACTTTTAAGTAATTGTCTCTGTAAGAAATGTTGTGGTGTAAAAGTAGTAGCTATGAACAAGATTTTAAATCCGTCTTAAAAAGTTCTTTTAAATAACATTGTTGTCAGCCAACAGCAAAATAGTGATCAACCAAAAAAATATTTAAATTTTATTTTTTTCTTTCCTTGACAAATTTTAAGACTTAAACTATTAAAAATTAATTTTTTTTAACACTTTAATCTTTATTAAACAGGGTGCGCAGCGTTTTTAAAAATTGCTTAAAGGTACTTATTTTCGATTTTCGTTTTTTAAAAGCCCTTAAAGGTGCTTTTTTCCATGGAAAAGTGGTAAATTTTCCCTTTTCCGAAATGTGATAATTTTCTTTACCATGTTGATTTTCGCCACAAATTATGCAAAAAGACATTGTCATATCCAACGTTTTCACAATTAATTCAACCACAGTCTATTCCAGCGTACAGCCGGTCTGTAGTGTATGAAAGCACCATTTGTCTTACATGTTAGATGAAATACTTGCGGGTCCGCACTTGCGTATACTGAGCTGGATTCAGTGGTAAGGATTTTTGACTCTCATGTCCAACCCTGCTGCATTTTACAACAGATTCTCAATTTCAGACTTCATTTTCCGCACTCTGTAATAGAATCGAAAAATCTCTCGAATTTTTGCTGATTACGGGGACCAACTAAACATTGTCAATTTTTCTTTCTCTATTAGTGACAGAAAATTTCATTTTTCTTGTTAATTTCGTCGTTTGTGATGCGCCATCGTCTTCGTCAATGTAAATAAAACCGGATAAAACCATCAATTGTCAAAAACTTGCCAACCCTGTATAATTATGATATTTTTCAAAGTGCTTAAAAATATTTTTAAGTGCTTAAAAGGTGCTTATTTTTTTTTGAAAAATTTGGGGCTACGCATCCTTTTATAAAAACATGTAGCATACTTTTAAAAACCTTATTTTATTTCCCGTAGTGACGGCCTCTAGTTCATGATTAACTATGAAATTTTAAGCTGCGTACAAAGGCAAGATCAAGTACTATTCAATGCACCAAAGGTGCGCAGAAAATTGAAAAAGTAACATCTGCACACATTACTGGAGACTGTTCCTACACCGAAACAAATTACGAGTTGTAAGATTTGTTTATTTTTTTACTTAACCTCTTAGTTAGATTAGCTTGTATTTATCTCCTAATTTGCAAAATCGGTAACTTTTCTAACATAGATTTGGTTGTGTCAACTCAACGAAAAAAAAATCTATAGGGACTACCAAGTTCAGAATTTGTCTAGTTCATCGGAGTTATGAATTGCTTATCTTGACTAACAACACGGGACTGTTATCAATGCAGGTGCGATTTTTCTTTTAAATTCTGTTGTCTTAAGTAAGTTTGAATTTCATAAAATCCTTGCTGGCTTGCCATTTTATCTGTTAAAAAGCATTTTGCACTAAAAAATGATGCGTTACGTCGTAAATATAAGTCCCAAGAGTTCGATTTCAGTTATCCAACGAATTTTGACTTTTTATGATTTGCTAAAATTATAAATTACGAAGTAAATAAATAAATAACTGACGCGATTTTCATGAATGGCTTTGCTATTCTTTATCATTTTTGTAAGAAATTTCTTTTAAAATTTTATACAATCAGTTTTTAATACTGGTTATAGTTATCGTAAATGTAATAAGTTTTTAACTTGTGTTTTAAGTTTGTTTTATAAATTATTAAACAAGTATATACTAAGAGCTTGAAACCGAATTCAAAAAGATTCAATTATTAAATTAAATTTGCATATTCCAAATTTTTGGAACCTTTTTTCTTCCATATTTTTATATCGCAAATAAGACAGAAAATTCAGTTTACAAGTCACTGATATGTGGTGATCATTCCTTATTAAATAAATGTCGGCGCATGCATACTTAAAATAGTTATTTTAAATTCGGCATAATATCAAATAGTATGCAAATTGAAATTATGTTTCTCAAAGCAAATAATGTAGATAATGACACAGTACTTTCTTTGCGACAAATAAAATTTTGTGGTAAATAAACTTTTCGAACTTATCTGGGTTGTCAAAGTCTTCATGGATCATGCACATGTGTCATACTTTAGAATAAAATGATTTTTTTTTTATGCGAAAACATTTAGAAAAAAAAATCTGAGTATTTTTATGCTGTTTACTAATTATAAGTTTTCATTTTACCTTTAGAAAAGCATCTTTAAGCTCACCATCCAGTGAAGGGCTGGCCTTAGAACACATTGACAATGTGTAATAAATTTTCAGCTTTGAAAACTTAACCTACGATATTTAAAATATTGTTAACTAAAAGAAAGCAAACATGCAAATATAGCCACAAAATTTGCTATACAATAACACATAATAACAATATCACATCACAATACCTCAACATTTGCATCTGTATAAAATGGTTTAAAATTAATGGTAAACATTTGATTATAAAATCCAATGTTTTAACTAGAGCGGACCTCTGCAGAGGATCGAAATTGTGATGGCATGTCTTCGGATTATCTTCGGGCCGTAACCAATAACCTATTGTGCAGCTCTTGTGGGCCGTAAATAAAATATCTATCCTAGCTAAATGATCTACCCCAACAAGAGCGGAAAATTTAAATCTTCAATTAAAATTTAATCGAAAGTATGTGGGTTAAAGAAGAAAAAATTTGGTTTATGTTCACATCAGCTTTACTTTCACCTTTTCATGTTTGAATGATATTTTTAATTATGCTCTAGAACAGTGGTTTCCAACTGGCGGCCCGGGGGCCGCATCCGGCCCGTGGAGCCTTTTTTTTGTGGCCCACGAACTAAAATATATGAATTGTCATTTTTTGCGGACAATTTTCGTAAAAAATTTATGTGGGTTAAAAATACTTTTCTTTCGTTTAAAAAAACCTAATTTCTTCGTTTCTGTGAAATGCATAAAAGAGGGAATGAATATCATGTTTTATTTAAATTCCTTGAATTGAATATCACATGAGCGGAAAAGACAAAAAAATTTAATTTCAGATGCTCGAAAAAAATTTTTGGTTGCCTTAATTCCTAATAAGTTGAAATTTTTTCTTTTACGGAATTAAATTATAAACATAAAAAATCTTGTCACTAAGTTTCTGATTAAGAGAAGATTCAAAATGATACATAACAAGCATTATTTGTAATGCTTGTTATTTTTCTTTTTAATATTAAAATAACTTTGATAAAAATCTGACAGTAATCTATTTAATTTTCCTTCAAACATAAAATGAGTCCTATATAAAATTTTGATAAAGTTGCGGCCCGCCATTTGACTGGGGTTTCTATTTGCGGCCCCCGGCCGCGTGTAAGTTGAAAACCCCTGTTTTAGAAGAACAGAAGAGCTAAATGGAGAAAAAAATTAACAATTTAGTGAATTTGCTGAGATTAGCTTTCGAGAATGTTGCAACACTAAGAAGCTGTTTGCAAAACAGGTTGCTTTTCCTATTATTACTTAAAGACCTGGCTGAAAAAAATAATATTATGCATGGAGCTCGCTGTGTTTTTAAACCCGAAATTTCACACTTTTTACGATGTCACTTGACATCGAGTTTTTACAACGCTCTTCAATAATGTCTGGATCTCATAGATTCAGCGTCTCTTATAAAGTTATCTTTATTAAATAAAACGATGTTTAGTGAGATTAAATTTTCCGCTCATGTTGAAACATATTATATGCAGGGTATTCAATAATGATCACCCTTATGTATGTGAAGAACCCGTTTTATAGTCGGAAATTTATGCTTATTAGATGCTGAAAATTGTTAGTCGAGGGAGTTATTAAAAAAACTATCAAAATCGTATGAATCACAGCCGAAAAAGGCTGAGTTGTGAAGATCAAAACGTGCCGATTGCTGGAGGAAGCAGAAAATAAAAAATGATTTTTAAAAACAATTCCTAGTTTAGATTATCAAATTAGTTTCCCGCCTCCTCACTTGTGATTCATCAAATATTTTTTTCCCCTTCTCGCTAAAATTTTAATTTGCGACCTATTATGCAACACTTTTTTCACTTCCTTACCGCCAAGAATTCTAAAAATATACATTAAGGAAGGTGATTACCGAACACCATATATTTATTTAAAATAATTTTAAAAATGAATTAGCTATAAAAAACTGTTTACCTAAGGGGTATCAAATTGATATACAAGTGAGAAAGAAAAAACGTAACCAAACTTTGACCATTCATGAATGTTATGAAAAGCAAAAGATCATTAAAATCATCAAAAAATTGTTTATTTTGTCATATGATAAATAAACACATTCGTCACAAAGCAACATTCATGTCATTTAAACTAAATCCTCAATTTAACTAGTTTTAGATTATTTTAATCTCTCCTTTGATCTTATTTACCTCAATAATAATTAGTCCATTCGAATACTATAGTTGTCTTTCTTCTACTTATCTATCACATTGCAGCCTCAAACGCACAGTTTTAATATTTTTATTATTAGGATACCGGAAAAATACTTTAAAGGCGGGCATTAGGGAAAACTGTACTTTTTTGTTCATTAGCATCTATAATTTTTTTTAAAAATCTATTTTACACTTACAGCGCAGTCTTTGATAGCTTTGTTCTTATCCATTGATAATACTTGCAGTAGAAGCATTAGATCTTCCGCATACCTACACATTGGTCCAATTGTTGTGACATTTTCAATACACGCAAATTGTCCATGAGGGGAAACCAAACCTAAAAAAAATTGCACTTCAGTTTAGACCTGAAAATACGATGCTTTTAACTTTCTTATTGGCAGCATTTATTTACATTAATTTTATTTTTTCAATTTAACCTTTTTTATTATATAACAACAATCTAACATTACATGCAATATGAGTCAAACAGTGAACTGATTTTTTTTATTTTTATAACCGTCGTTGAACAGCTGGCACAATTTTGGGTTGACTACTAATGTTCAACTCCGTAGCCGTGTAATTTTTGAACCAATCCAGAAGACAAGAAAACTCCTGGATCAGTACCCCCAGAAGTATTGATTTGTTATGGGAACATAGAGGACTTTGCGACTCTACAGATTTAACGCACATCAGTCAGCATTTACTACACTTCGGTCGGCGGGGATTGAACCCATGACCTCTTGGACATGGGCCCAGTGCCCTACTAATCAGGCTGTCTCGGCCTTGCAGTGGACTGATTGTTAAAAACACGTGTCCCAGTATCAGTAAGTGGGTGGATGATCACTTTGATCAAACTGCGTAGGGACCGAGGGTGCGCGGTATCGGTCCTAGTTAAACTGTTACTGTTCTATTGTAAAGTGCTCGACTTCGCGTATAGGGCTATCAAAGTAGAGGAGCCATCCCCTATGTAGAGGATCAAAATTGTGTTGGCGGCATCTCTTTGGATCATCCTCAGGGATGTTACCCAGACCGTCGCTAATAGCCCATTATGCAGATCTAGTGTAACGTAAATAAAGAATCTACCTACATGCAATACGAAAAAAAAAACTATTCACATTATCTTGTATTCATATTTTTGTTCCTAATATTTAGATTATTTAAAGAACTATTTCCAAAAGCGATTTGCACATTGTATGTGTTCTACAATCTAGTAGAAGGAGTTGTACATCAATAAATATAAGTTTTGAGTTAAGGAAGATTTTAAAATCTTGAATTTTGCCGTGGTGCTGTACAATAGGTATGAAATTGAAGAATTCGAATAACATATCAAGAGGTAATAGGTAATGTAGATTAAGGTGCAAGAGGTATTGGGTAATGTAGATTATGATGCAAGAGGTAATGGGTAATGTAGATTATGATGCAAGAGGTAATGGGTAATGTAGATTAAGATGCAAGAGGTAATGGGTAATGCAGATGCTGGCAATGTGATCAATATTGTTCACCGAATATTTTTACATACTATACAAACTAAACTTATTCTGTCTATCTGAAGCTGGGTCGTCTTCAAATAGCCATCGAATATAAAACCCCTATTACTTCACAATAAGATCTCAGGATCTTAACACTGCACCATTGCGACTCTTAATGAGTATTAGCAATTTAATAGAGAGGAAACGAAAATTAAACATAACGCTTTTATGCTTGGAGAAGCAGTATCATCCTGGTGGTCCTTATGGTTTATGGGATCGCTTATTGATTCATGTATATTATTGTGACTCAACAAATTAGGGGCTTATTCATAATGATTAATTCATTTATTAACTCATTTCGTTGCGAATCAATGACAGGCTCTAGTCTAAAATATTTCTCTAGCCTTTGTTTTCATATTTCTTTCTTTAAATTTCCTTCGTTAGCGATATTTTAAGACATAAAGCGAAAGTAAAAAGTATGATAATGAAATAATTTTCGAGTCTTTTAGGATGATTCCATGATGAAGAGATAGTAAGGAAATACAATTTTATACAAATTTTTTGTGAATAAAATAATATATTTATATTTAGTACTGAGATATTGAAGATATCAATAGGTATAAAAAAATTGGAATTGGCCTAAAACATTTCTACTAAAATGGAAATTTCTTTGCAAATAACAGACACTGCATCATTGAAATTTCGTTGAAAGTATAGGTAAACGGTTTTCTACATTTGTTCTGCAATTAGTCCACCGTATCACATATGTTGAAAACTGCCGTGCAATTGAAAAAACAGCGAGTGCTTCAAAATTGACTCCGAGAAAAGTGGCTCGGCAACTATTTTTCTTCTATTTCTAATGCTAGGAATGCTGCAATCGAATTTTGAAGAATTGAGAAAACAAAATTTAGTTTTGAAATAATCTTTTTTTTTTTTTTGCAATATGTAGCTTAAGATGCCCAATATACCAATATATATGAAAATCTCGATTTTGAATTCTTTGTTGCTTACGTTGATTTTTCAATTGCAAGGCAAAACTTGGATGAAATGAAAAACTTTCTCCGAACATAAAATCTCAATTAAAAAAAATTCTGTACGCATTGATTAGCTCTTGTAACCAGTTTTAACTCTTTCGTCACCATCTCATTTTGGCGAAATTCATTTGAAAATCACGAATTTTTAAAAAAAAATGTTTAGTTTTTATACAACTCTATATTGATTCATACCATAGAGATGAGTTTGATAAAAAAGGTGAAAATAGAAATCCAAAAGTGTTTTGTTCAAAAACACTTTTTAAATAATTGAAAAAATAACCTGGAGTTTGAGCAAGAAAAAAGGTGTATGTCGAAAGCATTTATCTACAGGATGTTATGAACGTTTAAATTAAAATATCGATGCGAGATTTTATTTATTTGTTTAAATTGTGTGAGTATGAATCTCAATGTATGATTTTTAAATCACGGGAATACGAATCTCGATGTTTCATTTTAAAATCACACGAATACGAATCTTGATGTTTCATTTTAAAATCATGGGAATACGAATCTCGATGCTTCATTTTAAAATCACGTAAATATGAATTCTGATGTATAATTTTTAAGTCACTTGCACACGAATCATAATATTGGCTTTTAAATCACAATATTTGATATAAAATCTTAAAAATGCGAAACCCTATGTGCGATCTTAGATCGCGTAAATAGGAATCTCGATGTGTGATTTAAATCATGTGAATATAATTTAAATGGCTTTTGCATTTGAACAAAAATGCGTAAAAATGAACTTTTTCCCCTCGGGAATTAAAAAAAAAACAACTTTTTTTGAAGAGGCAGATTTTTTTTCCGTAATGGTAAAAAAAATTTCCGCAAACGACGTTCGTGTGTATATTATATAGGTCTGATTTTGAAGAATTTTTATTTGCAAATTAAATGCTTACTTCGTGTACAGTGTCTAGCGCGGGCTTTATTATAATATCCGTGATAAAATAAGTACCTGAATCTTGCTCCATGTCAGTATCATACTTACCAACAGTAGGCTTGTGACTGTAAATGCCACAAAATAAACCTGGCATTCGTAAACTTCCAGCTGAGTCATTGCCTATACCTATCACAGAAGCACCAGCACCAATCAAAGCAGCCTCGCCACCTGTATTCATTAAAATCAGTCATTAAAATTAATTCATAGTCACTGATTAAAATTTAATCTGAGGTTCAATTTAGCTGCACGCGCTTACAGTTTAACCGCCTTCAGTCCACGAGTACCACTGTATGAACCGTACTTTGCTAAGTATTCCCACCGATATTTTAATAATGCGAGTCTCTGGTGGTCACAAGAATAATATCTCGCTCCGATAGTTTTCATGCTATTATGTCCCTTTATTTGTGTCCGTTGTATCTCATCTCGCCACTTTACACGATCAGTTTGAATATTTGCCGAGTAAAATGGAGTATGATGACTTAAAATCTTTACCCTAATTCGTTGAAATTTCAAAAAAAAAAATTTAAAACTTATTTCTCAGTGAACAAGAAAGCTTTTACGAGGCTCACAATAATTTTTTTAATTTTGTATTACTTTAATAACATTTCAATAGTTTTGTTATTTCCTGTGAAATATCTTTTCAAATGCATACGAATATTCTTCGCAAGTAGTTAAATAAGCGTCACCCGAATACGGGTGACCCGGTCAGATCAGAAACTTTGCTGTCACCGGGATATGGGTGACGCGGCAGTCAACGTGTTATCTAGTTACATAATTATAGGTGCTTTGATTATGAATAAAACGTTTTTTTAAAAGAAACAAAATAATTGTTTACCAACCACTGCTTCCGCTTGGGCTTCTTGTTGTGTCATAAGGATTGTTAGTCCAACCATTCAGTTTATTGAAAGTTTCCAAATTCAGTCCTTTCTCGGGCGTATTTGTTGTCACTAATATAATTGCACCAGCTTTCTTTACATATTTTATTACATCTGCGTCTTCGGTTGATTTAACATCTTTTGAATCAAGACTAGCTCCATGGAAAGGTAATCCTGTAATACAGTTTATGTCATTAGAGCCCGAATTAGGATAACTTAAAATATCCCTAAACATGCCCGTAAAATAAAAGTAGAATTTCTTTTCAATTATACAAGAATTTTTAACCTGAAGAATTTATTTCCTTTCTAATTTACGAATCAATGTATATTGCTTGCAATGTATACCTTAGAAATCGAATTGCAATTTTCATTAAAACTGAAACACTTTATTGAAAGTAATGCTGATGGAGCCCATTATCTGTTCCGTTATAAATGAAAATTTCTGCCTCTATCTCCGTAATCAGTACATACAAAATGTTGATGGAGTCTTTTAATGTTTCGTCTTCGATGAAAGTGTTTGCCTCTATCTTCGTTACTAGGAGAGATGTTCAGTTGTCTCTAATACGTAACGAGTTATGGTTCCTGTGTATTGAAGAACTCAGCCCCATCCTGAAGAATTCAGGACTTGAATACAGTTTTATTAATTGGCAATACAGTTGCATAAAATGACTTCAAAACCAAGATTTACCATAGTGTGGAGAGAGGTTTCTTTTAATGTTGAAAGAGAACTATGTAAATATTTACGTTATGGCTCCACTAAGAGTTAATTTTGTTGCATCTTAAAAATAAAAACTTACCTTCTATTTGAATGAGCTGTTTGATGCTGATTGGGATTCCCAAAAGAGGCTTTTCTAGTAAAAGTTGACTTCTACTCATTTTACCCGAAGCAACTAACTCGTCGGCTAGCCTCGCTTCTTGTATAGCCTCAGAGAATCGTTGATAAGTTGTTGCATTTATATACGGTTCTACTTCCTGTATTCTGTCGATGTACGCTTGGACGATAGTTTCACTTTTTACCTGGAAAACATTAATGCAAACTTGATATTAAATAAAATTTTGAGATGAAAAAATTGAAGAAAAATTTAGTTATAGGACACGTCTAATGACATTTTTTTTTTAGTATTAAATCAACCGTAAAAATCTTGCGATAGTGTTTACTCGACCCTCATTACAAAAAGCTCATTTCATATCAAACAACATTAATACAATAAAGTCTGTTAAGTTGACAACCTCTGTCTGTTGATTGCCTAAGTTTACCTCTACAACAAATTCTCTTTTGTTAATGACCGCTTACCTAAATGGATCATCAAATTGTTGCACAAGTGGTCAACTAACACGGATTTCGCTGTACTCACATTTGCTCACACGAGTGTCGTTGTTGTCATCGGCCATTAGGGCAGAGGGGGTGCAATTGTTCTTGTTTTCCATTGGTGCCATATATGGCCAAAAATTCGACTTCTGCCACACCCATACGTCACACCCGCTTATAGGGCGAATCCATTCATTCATCCGCAGCTCGTAATTTTGACCTGAACCAGAGAACGATCAATCTCCAATTCAGTACCCCAAGAAGTGTTGATTTATTGTGGGAACATGGATGGCTTTGTGACCCGATAGATTTAACGTGCACCAGTCACCATTTACTACACGGGGAGTCTTCGGCCGGCTGGATTCGAACTCTCGTTCTCACATACGTGAGTCCAGCGTCCTGCTAACCAGGCTATCCCGGCCACTCACTCGATTAAAATTTTTTTATATGTGTGACCTAACTGATCCACTAATCTTCACATCCAACTTTGTGCATAAGTAAAGTGGCTATACTCTACAAGATAAGGGTACTTTCTGTGCCATCTGGTGGAAAACAACAAAATTAGTGATAAATAATCGATTTCGTATGAAAAGACACCTTGCATGCATTACGCTCATCTGTTAGTTCGCGATTTTAATACCTTGTGACATGACGAAATTACCGTAGGAAGATAAGAAAAAACAATTGGCTATCACAAGATACCACGATTATCAACGAGTAAAACTTAAGTTAGAAAATCGAGAATGTAAGCCATTTTTACCATGTCTATACACAACGTTAGAGTGTCGGTAGGAACATTGTTGAGTGTTTTGCATACACCGTTGCTTACGACCTCTTTTTAGCGAAAACTCAAAATTAACCGACAGATCAAATTTGAATTTAAGATTATATTTTAAAAATTCTTATGCTGATTAAATAATCATTATTACGACAGATGAATCAAAGAAGTTAGAATTTTCAAAACAAGAACGTTTAGTTTATTTTTTATGGTTATAAGTCAGGAACAATTCAATTTATTTTCTTTAAATTTTAAGAATAAGAAGTCTACAAATATGCTTAAGAAATTTCGAAACTTTTTTAAAAACAATTTCGTCTGACACCATTTCTTATGATATATTGTTTTATTGCGGCTGTGGTTTGCATTTGCGACACCGTACTCTTTTCTTTCGTGTATTATAAGTCGCTTTTTATTATTATTTTTAATTTACAATATTTTTCAGTGGAAAAAAATTAAATTGTTCAAATTCTAAAAATTAATTTTCTATTATATAATGATATACTTGCAAATAAGTATATCAATATATAACAGAAAATTAATTTGTAAGATTTTTAATACCTGAATTTTTTTCCTATCTAATATGCTAAGTGGCATTAGCATTTTGCGTACAGCTGGCACAACTGAGGATCCAGAATAGCAAGTACTATCAGGCGCCGTAGGCAAATGGTTAAATTACCTGCGTTGATGATGTGTATCCTCCTGTATCTATTGCTTTCCAAAAACTTTTGTGGTGATTTTTCGTAAAAAGCTTTGGGGTTCATAGTTGCTTCATTTTTGGCATAGTTATCATTTATGTACAATGTGACAATTATTAAGTTACATGAAAGGAAAAATTCAAAAACTACCGAACTCAAAAAGTTTATGCACATTTTAAAAATAGCTATCGATATTCCCATGTAGTTTAAATTGTTCAATATGCTTGCCACAACGGTTATGGTATGGCGCAAAGGAATGTCAAAGCTCTTTAAAACTCGTTGAAGGTGTCGATGACTAGGCACTTATGAAATCCGCTGAAAAATGCGGCATTTGTAGATATTTTTAACGAAAAACGAACAAAACTAATAACAGTTCGCATGTTGAAAAATAATTTTTTTTTACATTCAACTGCCAAGTTTTAACTAATTCGCTGCAACGGTTAAAAAAAGGAATTTCATATAGCTCAGCAGTTGTCACCCTGCATTACAAATCTTTATACTTTTCCATAGAATAAAACCTAGTTTAAAAAATTTAGACAAATAAAATATTACATTAAAAAAACTCAAATTGGATTTTATACGGAACCCTTTTAGTTTTAAATCATTATTTCGAACCATTAAGCCATAAAAGTCCACCTGCTAACACAAATGAATAGGCCTTTTTTTTCAAAAAAATCCAACATTTGCATCACCTACTTACTTATTTGTTCAATTGCACTATAAAGGAGAAAGGAAACGTGATTGCGAAATACTTGACATGTTTTCATTCTTACATCAAAAGTTGACAGCTCATTTCAGTATATGCACTTATGTCTCAAGATTTCTTGTATTTTTTTCTTCATAATTATTATTATTATTTTTTCATTACAAAAGCTAGCATTACAAAATTGATTTGGAATAAAAACGAATAAGAGAAAAAATAATTTTTAAATCTTATTCAATTTCATTTTGTTTAGATGTTATACTCTTGACTTGTGTGATCATGTGATTTTTAATTTATTTTCGTTTGCTCTGTAAAAATATTTTGTTTTATCATTTCGGAGCGCAGTTTGAGCTCCGCCAATGCTTGAAAATGATTTAAATAGAGGATATGAAGCTCTGTCATCTCTTTAAAATTATTTAAAAGAATATCATTTTCTTCCCAACTGTTTGCCTACGTTCCTGAACATTCGACCATGGCTGCTATCGTCATCATCATCATCATAAAGAGAAAAAACTAAGAAAATTAAGAAAAACAAGAAGTTTTATTCACTGCGCATAAGCTGCAAGTAAATAGAACTCATAAAATAAGTTCAAAATGCAGAGAAAACATGGAAAAATTATAGAACAATGAAGAAAGGGAAAAAGAAAAATCCGAAAAAAGGAAAAAAATTAATACAAATTAATAAAAATCCGGAAAAATAGAAGATATAATCTTTTCATCAGCTCACACGATTATATCCGCAAAAAAGAGTGCTTTCTAATATTGTATCACTATAGCCAAAGCAAAATATATATTAATACAATAGTGTGAGGAGCACTAAAAAAATTTTTACAGCAAATAAAATAGAACACTAGAACACATTAAGTAAAAATATCACGTAAAAACAGAAAATAAAATATAAAGAAAAAACAGAATAAAACATAAAACGAAATCTGTAAAGCAAGCAGTGAATTCAAATGAACTTACATGAGCGGGAAATTTTTCAAGAATGATTTAAAATATTTTCGTAACAAGATTGCCAGATTTCAAAATATGAAAACAGAAGCGCAAATTGAGATAAAAGCGTAAATAGAGGAGTTTTGGTTTAACGTGCGTTCTTACTGCAGTACTAAAGTGCGTTTGATTTGTTAGTTACCAAGGATGGGCCCGAAAATGGATGTGCGCAAAGTACTATTATACTGGATAATTTAAAGAAGTTGACAGTTAATAATTTTGGAAAATTAACTTTTATCTAATAAAAAAATAAAATAAAATAAAAGAGGGAAAGAAGCATGAATTGCCTGTTTTGCACATAATTTTAGACATGGATTTGCACATGTCAAAGATTATATATGTAAATTAACCAAGAAGTTTTTTAGTAAATTTATTTACACCAATATATACAATTAACTCAATGATTTAATACAAAATTTAATTACTATACTAGTTGGGTATCCATTGTTTTTTTTATCAAATTTTGAAAGTGTTTGTTTTTTGAAAAATAAACTTTACTACATATTCTTTTAATTCTATTCATTTGATTAAAAATGGTATTTAAATACATATTATTAGAAATATTAGAATTCCAAGTAATAAGTTTATTTATATTAAAATTAAAATCATTTCTTTCATCTTATAAATCAACAAAGTAGATATTTTCTTCTTTTATAATACGCAAATCCGAAAAATTTTAATTAATATTATCATGATTAGGAAGCAAGATTAATTCCTCAGGATAAATATTATTTAATAAAATAGTATAATCTTGAAAATTAAAGATAATTAAATCATCAATAAATCTAAAAACAAATTTAATATTGAGAGTATAAGTTTTTTGATAATAATGCAAAAATAAGTTAGCTAAGAGAGATGAAAAATTAGATCCTTGTGGTATTTCAACAATTTGAAGAAAAATATCTTTTCCATTGTAAAGATAATTATCAAAAAGGCAAAAATTAATTAGAATTTTCCAATATTCAAAGTCGAAATTAAGAATATTTTTAAAATCACTGTAATAATTCAAAAGGATATCTTTTAGTTTAGAAAGGGGAATGCTACTGAAAAGATCCTGGAAATCAAAAGTCGCCATAGAATTAATTTTATTATGTTTAATAAATTCTAAAATTGGTTGATCGTTAGTGATAAACCAGGAAAAAACTTCTTTGGCAATATTGTTAATAATTTTATTTAATTATTAGAGAAAGTGGTGCCAGGTTTAGTTAAGTAAGTATTAGACCCACATGTGATTGTTCTAAATTTTATAGGAATTTTATAAGAAAGTACGGTAATTAAGTACGGAAATTGTATATTGCTAATTTTAATTTTTAGCCTCTTATATAAAGCTGAAATTTTCTTAATGACAATATTATTATTTAAATTACTAAGTTTAAAATGTTTACTATTTTTTAACTCCGTATTTAAAAGTTCAGCATAGAATTTTTTACGGAAGATTGCATAATTATTGTTAGCTTTGTCTATGGGAGTAATTACGGAAATTTTTTTGTAGTTGCTTAATTGATTGAACAATTTTAGAAAAATTTGTTGAATTGTTACTGTTATTTAAATTATTCTTATTATTGAAAACAAAGTTTTTAAAGTAATAATAAACATCCCATTTCTATTCTGTTAGCATACCTAAAGGTAAAGAGAATTTATTTGATATCTTTAAATAAAAACTATTGAGATCATTAAGAAAGTATTTTAGAATTTTATTAATTGATATATGGTAAATGGGTCTAAATTTTGTACCTTTTATCATTAAATTCCTAAGTTCTAAGTTTCCTGTGCTATTTAAATTATCAATGATAATATGTTTATGAGGTTTATCAACAAAATCAAAATATTTCTCTTCTCCACAGTGACATTCATAATCGGATACATTAATCGTCACTAAATTTTTGCTTATATCATTATAATTAAATATAGCTACCAAGAGATTTATTATATTTAAAGCTTTTAATTATGTTAAAATATTTTAATGGAAATAAATTTTTAAAATTTTCAAAAATATTACGAAATTTGATCTTATTGAAAATAGGGTTTTGAAGATAACGGAATTCGGATGAAAGATAACGAAATATAAATTATCTAAATTTTTCTTTTTATTTGGGGAAATTTTACTCATTACAAGATCGAAACAAAGAATTTTGAAACGTAAATTAATAAAGGTAAAGTTAATAATAAGATCTTGAAGCTCATATGCATCATTATTCTTGAGGGAGAAAACAAAATCTTTAATTGGTTTAATATTATAATGTTTATTAAAATCTTTTTCCATTTTAGAAATAAAATTTATATTTAATTTGTCACTATTAAGAGAGTTTTTATTACTTCTTGATACCTGTTTACCTCTTTTATTAAAGAAATTATTATCTTTTATTTAAGAAAATTGACATAGCTTGCAATACGTGTTTGAAGAAATGGGCATAGCTCGAAATTTGAGTCTAAAGAAATAAACATTACTTTAAATGCGTGTTTTAAAAAGTGGACATTGCAGAAAATGAGAGTTTAAGGAAATGGACATAGTTGAAATGCTCGTTAAAGAAACTGATATTAACAGGAATTATGTTAAACGATAACGTGTTGAACGATTCTGTCGTTAGACATTATAGTAATCAATGCTTCATTTTATTCTAATTCATCATGTGGCCCAGCTAAAAATTTACGCATTTACTAGTTGTTTCCTTAGTCAAAATATCAAAATAAACTGTTATTAGGCGGGTAAACTAGAATTTTGTTATATTAAGTTAATAAAAATTTGGGTATGAATATGTTTTGATTCAAACTTAACAAAAACTTGCTACAACGATGCTTATTTTTTTTCAAAAGTGCGGTTAAAATTTTTTTCGAAAGTGCAATGAACAACTAAGGGTCCGATGAAATATTACATGAGCGCCGAATAAAGAAAGGTTTTTTTTGCTTGCTTTTGCTGGAAGTTGTGCAGCACTTTCATAAGATGCATAACTCCTTTATCCCTTTATAGTTAAAAAATCTCTTTTAAATTACAAGAGTTTTTCGACTTTAAATATCGTTAAACTGTTCTACCGTAAAGGGCTCGACTTCGCGTGCAGGTTGTTGGGCTACCAAAGCGGGGGTACCCCTCTGCAGAGGATCAAAATTGTGATGGCATGTCTTCGGATCATCCTCAGGGATGTTTCCCAGACCGTCGCAGATAGCCCATTGTGCAGCTCTAGTGCGACGTAAATGAACTACAACAACAACAATCGACTTTAAATAAATTAAATTTACTACATTTAGGTAATGCGAAAGAAAAGAAAAAAAATCTTAAGGTATTAGGATTCACGGGGTATTGGATTTGCTTACGTAATATTTGAGAGCCCTAAATTTTAGAAGCAAACAACTTATCAAAAAATGACTAAAAACGATTTAAGTCCGTGGAGTTTGTGACATAAAGTTAAAAATAATTTTTCTTTACAAAAATATATTTCACCTTTCCTTCCCTGATATCAGCAGCCAGCACAGTAGCCGATTTCAATAACAAAGGATTCTCGATCGGTGGTACTACTTTCCCCCTACCACAATAGAAGAGTGAACAACCTATGTGTAATAAAAATGTTCCAAATCTGAATCCCATTATCAAGATTCGGTAAAATATGCATCTCGAAATTCTTCTTGCGTTGTCAGTGAAACCATGAAGCTTGCTCTGAGTTTTATTGCTAGTGGTAACCATCGAATATCTGGAAGAAAAAAAAGAAAACATCTCACTAATACATCAGGATGACAAGATATAACAATAAGATAAAAGATATAAATAATAACTGATATTTAGTTCGTATGAGAGCATTTAAAGTACATGTAAAATCGAGTTAAGAAAGATGCGTCCCGAGTTAAGAAAGATGCGTCCAACATTATAACTGCGCTATTGTACTTTTTAAATTTGATTACGTGTTACTATGGTTCGGTTTGAACAGAAATATGATTCAATTTAGCACCTTATTTAGGTCGTAGAAAAGTTTTACCGTATTTAGCATCTGGGCTCTAACATTATGGTTTAACTCTGAACGAATTTTTCTGAGAGTATAGCCTTCCTTTAAAAATGCATAACTTAATTTTTCAATGCGTAAAATCCGAATACAAACTGTCATAGTTTCTCAGTTAGTATCAATTTTTAATGCTTTCTGTTTTGTAAAACATGGAACTGCAGTTAGTGAATACATCAAATTCAAAAAAAATTTTCTATATAGTTTCTAATCAATCTTCAGATCGAATCCAAAGTATTTTCCATCTAGTTTCCAATCTACCTCCATTTCGAATCCATCACCATTTTAAAGCGTAACATAATGAAATTATTTATATTTTAAAGATTCAATTCGCGTGGCGAAAATTAATGAAATTGATTTCTGAATACCGATTTCTCAATAACCATTCTGGAGGTATGACATCCATTTCTAGAAATAATTACAGGAAGTATCTGAAAAAAAGGCTACATTGTGGGAATTTTTGAAATTTCTTTCTAAATTGTCGCTTGAACCATCATGGATTTTGTCAATTTTGAAGAAAAAATTCTCGAGATAAGGCTTTCTCATTCTAAAAAATATAACAAACCGAATCTAAAGTGTTTGACTCCATTCAAACGAAAAACACACATGAGAAATATTTAAGCTCTAAAAGCATAGATTTTTAGGTTAATTTTAATTTAATATCTAAAATGTCCCTACACTGTTACATTTCATTTTAAATTACTTTTTAATGAAAAATATTGAAGACTCAACTTAAATTTCTATAAATACTTTAAGATCTAATTTTAAGCGTTTTATTTTAGTTTGTAATCAGCGTCGAACAGCTCACCCAATTCTGAGTTTATAACTATCGGTGTTCAACACCGTAGCCTTGTGATTTTGAACCCAAATCAGAAGACAAGGAAACTCCTGTATCAAGCATTGGGACAAACTAACCTCCTTGGTGGATTTTTTGATGGAATTAACACATATTTGCGTAACATGGAGTGCAAAATCACTAAAGCCTCCCACGTTTAGCCCTATGGCAAGGGGACTGAGGATCACTGAGGATATTTTTCATCAGAGCTGTATACCTTTGCCCGGTATACCCTACAGACATTATTTTTTTTTTTAAGCTAGGAGCAGAATTCTTATCAATCACTCTCCCGCTGGAATTTGAAACTTTGTCACCTCATTGGAAGGCGATCCAAGGAGGTGGCTCTATCCCCTGAGTCATCGTGTCTTAATTTAAAATGTTTGACAGCATTTAAACATTTAGAAGAGATTTCACAGTATAAATATTTGAAATTTCATTCTAAATTGGCCTCTGTTTTATAATGATTTTCACCACTGTAAAATTCTCGATGTTAAACTTCAATTTGTAGACGAAAAAAAATGACAGCCCAAATCTTAAGTGTATTGCACCATTTAAAGTAATATTAAACTTATTGCATTCATAACTTTGTTTTGCTTTACTTTTCACCTTGTTTAGTTCAATTTTTATTTTGGCATTATTTTATTATTGCCAACTAATTGAGCTTATGCCTTGTAAAACTTTTTTAATTTTGTTAAATTTTAAGGTCGATGGTTTGCCTTTATCTTTTTATATCTCTCTTAATCTTTTTAAATGTTATCTTTTTTTATAGGCTATTCAACTTGTTTAAATATTGAAACAAAGGAATAAATTTAGTGTTAATTTTATTTAGATTAAACAATTGAATTTTAAAATCAATTTTATATAGAATTTCAAAATCATATTATTGGGGGCCAAAATATCGAATTTCCACTAGAAAAAAAAATTGGAGAAAGAAAAAGGAAGTACGCTCGATTTCTTTTCAATATCAGATCTTAAAGAATATTTACTAAGATTAAACAATAATACAAATTAATCAATATTATAATGTGAAAACCGAATTAACGGGAATTTTTACAGCAATGAAGTTATTGTAACAAATATTAAAATTCAATCGGCCGTGGAAATTGTTTTCACCTTGACGAGAACTTGAATTTCATTGTTATGGGTTGCTGTCAAAAATGACTATATACTTCCTTCTAATCTCTCTTTTCAAAAACTGGATGATCTGTAGACAAATAAAACGAGATAGTGACGTCACATCTTTTACTCTTTTTATCCTTCCTCGAATTAGATTTGTCACAAGATGATTTAATGTGCTTTCAAAAGTGAGTACTAATATACTTTTTTCATTCACAAAAATGTGTTAATGGAAAAGAAAATGACTCTGTTGCCGACTTTTACTACAATTATGAAACTAGAACTTCTTTTCCTGTCATAATAGCAATAATATCCTCTTCAAGATAAATCTATAGAATTACCCTTTCCTTCACGTGTTAGGCCTTGCTCATAACCGCATCTTCGTCTTGTACCAATTAACTATGCTTCCAGTCCAAATCCTTCAATCCAAATAAATCAAATTTTCTCAATTTTAAGACAAAAGAGCCGTAGGTAGCTGAGCCGTAGGCGATACGAATTCCGCACCCAGCTAGCATTGACCACAGTGCTGACGTAAAATATCCTTAGTGTTTGACGGATCATGGGTTAGAGTACCCTTGCCGTCAAGCTAACCGTGGAAGGCAGGGCTGATTGTGCTACGGAAAAAATCCGGATTTCCGGATTTCTCGCTAACAGTGATCTGGAAGTTTCCGGAGATCGAAGGTCCAGACGTTTCAAAAAATCATTGATCACAGAGGTTTCCAGAAATCAAATTTTCAAAGGTGGAACTTAAAAACACCGTTTATTTTATTTGTTTGTAAGGGGGAGCCAGAGAGATACTTTATAAGCATATATTCATGATTAATATTCATTTTTTATCAGTAAATAGTTGTTGTAATCATAAACTCAAGAAAGAAAGACATATTTGTAAATTTTAATTACTTCTCCAGGTCATCATAGGTATGTGTAAAATTTTAAATATATTTTAAGTAAACTAAGAAATATTGAGAAAAAGGAAGAAAAAACTTGTTTAATTTTTTTTTCTAATTTTTCAATTCAAACTTTTTTTTTAATTCAAGAAATTATCCGGAATTTTGACTTAAGCTCACAATCACCCTGGGAAGGTTATCGTGGTTTTCTTCTCCATGTAACGTAAATGTGGGTTAGTTCCGTTAAAAAGTCCTCCATGATGGCAAATTTCTCCCAATACTTGATTCAGGAGTTCCCTTGTCTTCTGGAATGGGTTCAAAATTACAAGGCTACGGAGATGAACATTGGTAGTCGTAAACTGAAAATTTGGTCTGGAGTTCAACTACGGTTATGAAATAAAATAAAAGATTACTACTATAAAAAAAAAATCTGTTACTCGAGTATTTTTTCAGTAATTATTTTTAGTTTTAAATTAGGTTAAAAAATAAAAAGCAATATTTTCTAATAAAAATGCTTTAAAAAAACATTTGATTTTTTTTCTTTCTTCTTTAATAGCATATGTTTATTTTAGTTTTGAAAGATTTTGAGGCAGTAAAACAAAGCTACCTCTAATAAATGAATAGGCAAAAACAGCATTTTTATTAGAATTTGCTCAAGGAGTTTTTTAAAAAAATATCCTTAAAACTTGTAATAGATATTTTTAGTTGATTTTAAGGGATTTTGAAGCCAACTTTCATTAATGTGTTCAAAAAAAAAAGCGAGCTTGAATTTTTACAAAACTTTTGCATTCACCCCAAATTTAACTAAATAATTTTGTAGTAACAGTTCTCGTTACAAAAATGTATATCAAAATATATTACAGCAATGAGACCTTTCACGTCTGAATTATTTTTAAATTGAAAAAAAAATTTCATTAAAAAATATCTTTTTTTTACTTTGTATCATAATGCAAAAATCTCAAAATTCCATTTTTTATCCATCTGTAATTTCATTTTTTACAGTACATTTTATTGCTTTCACAATGCTTCTTTTCTTAAATAAATTCAATTTTAGTTGGGATTATTTTCCAATCCTATTTTTTACATAAATAAAACAGTAATAGAAAAATATCAAGCAAAACTACATCCTATTTTCAGTTTATTCCATTAACTCCGAAAAGATAGCTTCTCAAAAACTATTTGTTTATTTGTAAATCATAGCGAAAACTATTTTGAAAACGGGAGCTAATAGAAAAGCAAAGTTTCCATGTTAATTAAAAAAAATTTGAAAATAAATATGAATGGATTGAATTGAAGTTAACAAAGTTGTATTGCTTATGAATACAGTCTGTAAAAGGTTTGAACTTTAATTAAATTTCAAGACATGAGAATTTTATGAACTCTGTAATACTAATACTTAATGCTATAAAACATGTGATGCTTATATTTTCGTTCAATTTTTTAAATGATCACTACATAAGTTAACAATTAACTTATACTTTTAAAAAAATGGCAAATAAAATCTAGAGTGAAGATAGAATCTTAACAAAATTTGACAGATGAGTAATTTCAGTCGTTAAGCAAACATATTGTTAGAGATTCCACAACGTTTCATTTGCTTGCTTGAACGAAATTTAAAATATTTCATTATTTAACAATCCTCTACAAATTTTCCTTCAAATAAGTGTGACGGGGACGATAAACACAATACAAGTTTATTGATAGCGTCAACTATAGCTAGCAATGAGTTTTAATTACAAAAACAAAAGTTCTCGAAGTTAGAATTTTTGATAAAATCTTAATAAGGAAAAACGTTTCGCTTGAGTTAGCTTGGTCTTGATTGTAAATATTTTCCTTTAACTTCATGGTTTTTTTTCTTT